GCAACATTTTGTTCTCTCTCTTTTTAAATTTCTTATAATAGATCAGCATATTTGCGCATGTTATAGATAACAGCTCATGGTAAAAGGGGGTTAAAGTCAAAACCATCAGTTGTTCCTTTCTAACATTCTTGAACATATAGCAAAAACGTATCTGGTTTTTTGTGTAGTGTATTTTTACTATTATGTCAAAGAGGTTTTATATAACGTCGTCTTGTGGTTGAGTTCAAGCTCTTACGATTATTGTGGTAGATTGGTCTTATCAATGTAGTTTTGTGTTCCTCACCTGTTTTTCTCATCATTCATCAGATCCAGCAAGACCACATGCAGGGTTGTGGTTTTATTTTGTCTATCGTGGATGATTGTTGTTTCCTTATGTGGTTTTGTCATTTGGTAGATGACTGGATTTAGTATCGTTGTTACCTTTTTTATAATGTTTTCTATTTTTTTTTAATGTTTATTATTGGATCGTTTTTATGAGTTGCTTGATAATGGAAGAGACTTCCCTTTTTCTGGGGTCCACGGGTTCAGATTGGTGAATCCTTGGGTCTTTCTGTACTATTCTTACAGGGGTCTTAAACTTTGGTTGGTCATTATGTGATACGCTCTAGCCATTGTGTGTAGCTATTTTCTGGGGTCTTACCCTGTGTCCTGGTATCGTGGTATACAGAGGAATTTGGTGTTAAGTAGGGATTCGTAAAGATAAATAAGGGTTAAACCAAAGACACTACTATTGTTACAATGCCATGTTCGCGTGATCTTCTAGCTTGATGTTGTGTTAGCATTGCATTAATATGCAGTAGAACTACATGATCACCCTGAGGCTGATTGTTTTGGAATTGTTATTATCTGCATATTTGGTTATAACCAGCATCCTGAGGGGGAACGTGAGATTTGTAAGTTAATGAGAATCCCGTCCATTAGTTGTTTGAGATCAAACATAAGCTAAACATCTGTATTATACCTCTATGGTGGCTAGAGAAATAGCAGTTGGGATGATCAAATTCTGATGTAATTCATCTGTGTGGAACGATGTGACATGTCTGTTGTCAATGTTTGATTAATTGTTGTGAATGGCGATTTGCGTTAATAGATTGAGTTTATTTCAGTTGGTTCCTGATCCACGCTGACATCCCAGGCTCTTTATGCTACAGGACTGGATCTATAATATAAAAATCATTGTTAATAAATTATCGTTTCAAATATAGTAATTCGTGCTACCTGCTCTCCCAGTTTTGCATTATATTTTGATCCCTTCTAGCTAATAGTCTGTTCTATTAGTTGTGTCCAGCTATTGTTTCTTTCCTAATTGTAGTGTGAATCGTTATATTTCTACTATTACAAGTGTACCTGTGCATTGTAATAAGTTCCAGGAAACTGCTTTATCTTGCTTATCGGACTGATGAATTATCTGAAAGGAGTTGGAGTAAGTAAATATTTTTTATCACAGCTTCTGTTATACGGATGTTATTGTGATTAAGAGGCTTTCACAAATGACACCAGCAAAGCAGGTGATAGGTTCTAAGAACTCTACATGTGTGAATAGAGATGTGAAAATAGATTATTTTTTATATTATAAAGTGGTATTCAATGTGGAAGTTCTATTTTGTTTTCATGGCATGATTTCAGTGGCGGAGAATAAATACATAGGACTCATTTACATGTTGCTCTTGTTTTTAATCTTGATGAAGTCTACAGGTACTTGTAGAGAATCGTTAGTTTACATTTGTATGCCTAGAGCTGTATTGGTCTTACACCTAAACAACTTACCGAATTTTTCACTTATCTTTGCTATTGTAATGATTGAGTGAGAAAAAACAATATGTAAATTTGGTCAAGTATTTTGGGTGATCTGCAGCTTTTATCTAAAAGACATCCAGTCTGATCAGGAAGGAATATCGGTTCCAGATGGCAAGCAAGAGTGCAAGACTGTTTGAGGATTTAAGAATATACCATTTTATGATGAATGTACAAATGTATTCAATGTAATTTCCTTTACCTTTATTAATTTGGAGTAATTTGTTGATATCTTATTTAATTTCATGAGTTAGATGAGAAGATTGAACTACTTTAGCTCGATTGTGGTACTATTAGTTATTTGAGCTGCAGTGGTATCTGGATTAGCTTCACTGGTAGGATGGCTGGACGTAGTGTATCACAAGTCTAATCCTTGCTGCAGCACGCCTGGGTCAACCTTGGACTGTGCCTTCGGCTGCGAGTCTCCTTCCTCTCTTTCTCCCCCCTTTTGCTTCACTCTCAATTTAATGGCATTATGGCATGAAGACTAAGCTAATGCTATGAAACAGCTAGCCATTCTGTCCAAAGACAACAAAAATCACGATCGTAGCACCGTGTAATGTCTCATTTGTGGAGTTTTATGGAGCTTTTATAGGGCGGAACGTTTCTCGGACTAGTGAGCAGGAACTTTTACCGTTTGATAACAGATCAAGTGAAAGCTGCAGTATTGCATGGTTTTATTGCATTTAATCAACAAGAATGTTAATTCCTAACTTTTTTAACAAGGTGCTGGTAGGGTGACTTCTAATAGGCTGTATTATCTTTTGAGTCCTGCTTAACTGATTCTCCTGTTTCCAGTCTTTGTGGCTCATAGCTAAGCACTAACCAGCGGGTCTTAGTTCATTATTTCATAGGGACAGATATGAGAGCAAGTATTCTGCACTCTGCAATAGAAAGCAAAAATAAATATATTTGCAAATGCTGTTTCTTAATTCATATGCGTCTCTGGGCCATGCTAAATAACAACTTTCTTGTTCAGTTTCATTTCATATTTTTCCATCACCTTGAGATGCCATAGCCATATTTTCTTTTTGTTTCTCTGCTTTTTTTTCTTTTTGTTTTTTGATTGTTTTTAAAAACACGCATATGCTGCAGCATGATCCATCATGAATCATATGGTTCCCAAGTGTCAACAAGGGATACTAATTATGAGAAAAAACATTAACAATATACAGAGATTTTAATTTAATGCTGGTGATTAATATATTGTCGTTGGACTATCTTTTTTAATGACATATCAGCCTACTATTAATACTTACGCTATCTTCATGGTTTCTCTAAAAAAGATTATATCAACATCACCTTGATCTAGTAATAAATGTGGCTAAAAATGACTTGTTGTAAATATTTAAAAGATCTGTTATGAGTTTGAGTTGACATTCATTAAGGAACATTATTATTCTAGTAAACTCTTCATTTTCTTTTCATTTTTCTTATGCTTTTCATTTAATTTTTAAGATGCGTCTCTAAATTTAAAATCCTTTTTCCATCTATTACCTTCGTTTGGTTGATATGAGTTCGTTAATCTTAATGCCCAAAATATAGGTGTTGGTAAAACAGTTCACTCCCGGAAACTCCCCTATGAATAGATTAATATGTGACTATTGTAGTATGAACCTGTATTTTGCTCGACACATACACACAACCACCATAACAACACATGCGAATGGCACCCCTAGTCACTGACATGGAGACACAACAGGACGATTGATTTCCTTCCGCACGCAGTAAACTCGCTGCTTCTTCTTAGAGATGTATTTTTCTCACTCGTTATGGAGTATTCCACAGTGTAATAGTACGTCGATCTGATTCATACAATCAAAATTTGCTAGCAGGCAGTCGTGCATTACGCATAAGCAAGCACCTAGAGGACATCACTCAGACCAATGATACAGAGTCAGTTGACATTACATATTCGCACATCCATTCATCTGCTTATTTAGTAGGCCATGCAATTAATCCAAATCTAAAACATTTATGAGGAATCTCAAGTCTCTCGCGGCGTTTAACT